ATCATTCGTTAACTATCAACAAATATTCATTTGGTCATATTCAACTCTACCATTCGTTAATAGTTAACGAATCTCGTTTGGAATAAATGAATCATTCTATCAGTGTAATCTTTGAATTTACCGTAAGGGTAGAGCTACTTTAAATTTGCACGATTACAATGGTTCCATTCGGTGGCAAAAATTAATAAAAGTTGAATGTAAACGAAAAGTGATGAATTCTACGTGAAAACGAAAGAATGAAAAGAAATGATTGATCGAGAGAAGAATGGAGACGAGATGTGAAGTACGAAGAAGGTGGTTCGCCATTCAAGTGAACCATTTCGTTAACTATCAACGAATATTCATTTGGTCATATTCAACTCTAACATTCGTTAATAGTTAACGAATCTCGTTTGGAATAAATGAATCATTCTATCAGTGTAATCTTTGAATTTACCGTAAGGGTAGAGCTACTTTAAATTTGCAGGATTGCAATGCTTCCATTCGGTGGCAAAAATTAACAAAAATGAAATGTAAACGAAAAGTGATGAATTCTACGTGAAAACGAAAGAATGAAAAGAAATGATTGATCGAGAGAAGAATGGAGACGAGATGTGAAGTACGAAGAAGGTGGTGGTGGCCCCCACGAGTATAGGGTGACAACTCTTGGGATGGTTCCAACGATCAGAAGCATGATTGAGTAAAAAAGATTGGCAAAAAGGAGAGAAACGGAGGAGCGAGGAGAAGTCTCGAGTTGAAGCGACGACGAGCCTGTGGTATAAGCCAGGACTTCTTCTTTCGTGCTCTCGGTTAGTTTCGTTGAGCCTCGGCAAGTGAGCCTCGACCTTGAACAGGCCCTGTATGGGCTATGCCACTGACACGGACCAAGGACGCGCCCGGGCAGCACCGCATGCACAACCACTACCACTGCAAAGTGCCAGCTCATGTGCACAATATTCACGGGGTTGTGAATATTGTGGGATTGTATTGGTTCCGAAACGCGGTCGTAGAACTCGAGACGGTGGTAAGTGTATACGCCAATGGGTGAGGCCATTTTTTTTCGTGGAGTCTCTTCGCTTTGGCGAGCACGCACACTCCAACAATGTAGGAGGGGGTATGTAGTTTAGACGGAGATGATTTTTTTCCCTTTTCGCTGGAATCCTTTTCAACATTTGTAGTGAAATGTTGTAGTTTTTATTTGAGCCATTTACCACAGGTCGCAGTATTGAAAATTGTTGGCTGTATTTTGGGCCAGACTTCTTGGAAATTTGTGGCGTATTAAAGTTCCACTGGAATTTCAAGGAATTTTGTCGTTGGACATTCAGAATTTTCTGGACAAATCAATGGAAACTGTAAATTTCAAGTCAACTGTAATGAATATTTTTTTGGATTTGCAATTGAGAGAAAATGTGGCGTAATTTTTTAATAAGTTCAGAATCCTCGTCTATCTGCCGCAAAAAAATGGAATTTCAATCGGATTTAATGTGACTCTGTAATTATAAAATATTTAAAAAACCAGCGGAAAATTCATGGAAAGATTGAAAAACTGCAATTTTTCAAGATCACCCCATTGTTCATGAATAATTCATCAACAATTAATTGAGAAAAATATCGAGAAAGTGTGAAGAGCTAATTTATTGCAAAATGCAATCTGAAGACCTCACGTGATGAAGATTTCATTTAAAAAACCGAAAATAAAGAAATATGTGAAATCAAAATTGATTTCTGATGTTTTTCTGACCTGAATAATCATTTTAGGATTTAGTTCGATACAACCACAGCCCGAGGGATAAAACCTCAGATGAAGTGACGAAGGCCAGATTCCTTATAATCGTGGACGCTGACCGCGCCGAAAATTTCCGGCTACGCGAAGTTGGGCGGGGCCAGGTAGGCTGAATAAAACGAAAATAAAACGAAAACATTGGAAAAAAAAGAGTGATTCAAGTGCCTCCGGTAATACGATGCAGAAGTTCCGCAGACATGCACTGAGGCCGAGAAGATTTTTGATGAGGGAAGACCCGGAGATATTTGATGAAACACCCACACCCACATATCTCTTCGCGTCCGGATTTTTATCTGCTAATCAACTGGTCCCGACGGTCTTTTCATCATTCAAGAGAGGGATTCGATCTTAGTGAATTCCCAGTGGCGTAGAACTTGCAAAAATGAATTTGCACTGAGAGAAATATCGTCATAATATCACAAAACTAATTCCCTGTGCCAAATATCTCTTGAGGATAAGTTTCTTGGGCGAAGAATTCCGAATAATGTGTCAGACAACGTCAGATTTCAGTGAAATGTTCATGACATGAACGCAGACATCGGCATAATCGAAATTGTGAATTACATTTAAATTTGGAATAAGTCAATTGTTAATATTACTCACCAATTTTTTTATTTTAAAAATAACCATCAATTTAATTTTCAAATTCCTAATTATTTCATCAATCATCAACTTAAATATTCCAATAGCGAATTATTTTATCAACCAATAATTGAGAAATTAAATTATCAATCATCATGTTATTTTTCAAATTTCAATTACGATAAATAAATCTAAATTAATGTAAAGTGCAATTTTTTATAATATTACTAAAGTAATGATTGATCCCGATCTGTGCTTGAACATGAACATATGATAAAGTGAGAATTTCTGGCCACAAAAAATCAGTTTTTTCGTATCAGAAGATGAGAAAATGACTAAAAATATTGAAAGCTTAGATTCAGTGAATCATGAACCTATCATAAATTGATTAAATATGAATGCGATGTTTTTCACACAAGAAATGATTTCTGTGACATTATGTCGATTTTTCTCTCACTGTAACTCCTCATTCAACAACTCAAGAATTTGGAAAATTGCGATCATTTTTTTTCATCACATAATTTCTAAATTTACGCGGAAAAAATTATTCCCCACAAAACTATTTTTTTTCCCGTATTCATATCCGTTATCCGTTGGAAAAAAATTATTCTCTACAAAACGAATAATTTTTTTCATATTAGGAAGAGTTTGGAATGTTTGCGCGTCATAAGGAACATAGATAAATGCAACGCGCGTTATGCGATGTTGCCGACAACTCGCTAAACGCGCTCACTCCAACTACAGTGAATTCGGCAACCTCTCCGCCGGAATAATCTGCGCCATGTCCCCGCGACACGGCCGAATTGATGAGTTCCTCCGCATGCGACCAGACTAGGTTTAAAAATTGAAAAAAAAAATGAGTTTATGCTGATAAATTTGGCCGTTGTCAACCGAAACATCGGCTAATTAATAATCCCCCAGGTGGACCACGCCCTCGGAATAATTTCCACCTCATTATGCTTTTCTGTCTGCGTTATTTGTTCTCTCACTGTCTCGTCTATCATTTCTTTCCTCCGGAGTTCATCCACCCATGAATGCACATGCATTCGACGATCCTAAATCATTCTGAAGGCTCGTGACACACCCAGGAGAATAGAACTGATGGTGAAGAGCCCCTCAAATAATCAAGTGTTAAGATTAAATCAAAGTATAATCTTCCTCCATAAAAAATAATTCTCCACCGCGTTTTAAATGCAATATGAGTCGTAATCTTGGAGGAAGTTAATCTTCTAGTATGAGGCGTCAGTGATGACGCGTTTAGGCGAGAAACTATGACCTGATGATCATCACGATGGCATTATTGTTCGATATTCACATCCGTTATCTGGTTAATTAGACACTGGAGAGATCGTCAACACAGCCTCACCACCATCCGCATCTCTATTAAGAATTTATGCTGTATACTATCCAACCATCATGTTCACGGCGAGAGTATGCTCATACCCCTGATGTTGATTCCCTCGAATTTAAATGCATATATTATCGGACAAGGTGAATTTATCGAAGGTATACGTTGGTAATATCCCTTATTAGGTACGTGGTTTCGTCTATAAATAGAAACGAAAATCCTCGGAATATCGTTAGATGAAAAAGTTGATGTTCTTGAAGGTCAGAACTATTTTGCGCCCATGGGAGACGGTGTTTTGTTGGAGATTTGAATTACCACTGAGGACGGAAGGTTAGTCTCGGGCAAAAGTAACTTTTTTAATGTTTCGTTTCGAATTCTGGTAAGCACAGAGTTTAGTCATGGAAAATTTACGTATTCTGTGTAATTTCATAGAAAAATAAATGATAACTGTCAATTGTGGTGTAATGATTGAAGGAACATTACAAGAAGAATGAGAAAGTTTTTTTATTCTTGAAATTTATGAATTTCACGTATCTAAAATCTACTTGAAACTTGAAATTTCCCAACGTTTCTAATTTCGACAATGACTGCCAAATTCTTCATGAACTTTCAAATTTTTCTCAATTTTTCTCACTCTATTCTGAAAGCTACAGTATGGAAAAAAGAATGAAATTCGATTTATGAGACCCAAAATCATGAAATTTGAGATTTTACTGAAAATTCAATGTAAATCCAAATTTTGAAGGGGAGAGAGACGAAAATTTCTCAACTTATTTGAATTTTAAATAACAACATGAATATTTATGTTATTATTCAATTTTCTTCGAATAATTGAACTACAAATTTCAGTCAAAAATTTTCAACACTGCAGAATGGTTTTCCCTTTGATATAAATTAATATAACAAATGAGTCAATCACAGAACGGGACGTGTAGTCCATCAACGACTCGCATTTCTTCGCAATTTAGAAAGTAATTAAACTCAACTGCGGTTTCAACTTTTATATACTTGTGGACAGGGGAGGAAGAAAATGGCATATGCCCAGTAGCAGCTCATACACCACTTTAATAAAATTACTGAGCACTCCCCCCTCCCTCCCCCCGCCGCTGCCATCCCACTCTCTGTTACTCTCCTCTTCCGTGAGAACATAAATCTCACGAGAAACGGTCGTTAACCATAAAATTGTATGTATACGTGCGGGCCACCGCTGAATCTCTGACAATTAATATGAACGAAAAAAGCGAAAGGGAAGGGACTGAAAAAACGTGCACGAAAAAATATTCCGGCGCGTATGAAAGCAAAACTTACGTTCGAGGGCTCTGTAATTTTGTACGCTGATCGGATCCTCGAGGACCTGCAACATAAAAAAAAATAAGATTGAGATAATGAAAATTGGAATCTGCATGGGGGAATATTATTCACCAAAAAGGTGAGGAATTTTTCCTGCCGTACATGTACGGAGTATCGAGGCCTGCGCTCGGTGATTATATGCTAATGAGGTGCGAGGAGATCGAGTCTACCAAATGCACGCTGAAATTGATGATAACATGGGCTGCATAGTGAAAGTAAACACATCCATGTATATTGCTAGTGATGCCGCGAGACGCGGAGAGAAACGAGACGAGGCGAGACAAACGAGACGAGAAGAGTCATTCGAGACAATGACAGAAAACAGACGAGAGAAGAACGAGAGAAATGAGAGTCGAGACAAGGCGAGACGAGACGAGACAAACGAGACAAACGAGACGAGAGACATGACGAGACGAGAAGAGTCATTCGAGACAATGACAAAAAACAGACGAGACGAGAACGAGAAAAACGAGAGGCGAGACGAGAAGAGAAGAGTCATTCGAGACAATTACAGAAAACAGACGGGACAAGAACGGGAGAATTGAAAGGCGAGACAAGGCGAGATGAGACGAGACGAGAAGAGTCATTCGAGACAATGACAGAAAACAGACGAGACGAGAACGAGAGAAATGAAAGGCGAGACGAGGCGAGACAAATGAGACGAGAGACATGACGAGACGAGAAGAGTCATTCGAGACAATGACAAAAAACAGACGAGACGAGAACGAGAGAAACGAGAGGCGAGACAAGGCGAGACGAGAAGAGAAGAGTCATTCGAGACAATGACAGAAAACAGACGGGACAAGAACGAGAGAAATGAAAGGCGAGACAAGGCGAGATGAGACGAGATGAGACGAGACGAGACGAGTCATTCGAGACAATGACAGAAAAGAGACGAGACGAGAACGAGAGAAACGAGAGGCAAGACAAGGCGAGACCGGACGAGACGAGACAATGGAATGGTTTCCTGACAATGAGACGAGACGAGACGAGAAACTGTATCTTCTCGTCTCGTCTCGCGGCATCACTGTGTATTGCGCTTGAAATCTTGATAAAATTAAGTAGAATCATTGGCTCCTGAACATAAATTTAAAATTCTTTGACAATTCAACTCGCGCAACACTGCTGATACTGAATAATCATGTACAATCAAAAATTCAAATAATTTGTTAAATTTCCGTTGGATTTCCGTACCTGAAATTTCATAAGGTCTTTTATTCTGAATTGCATTCAATGCCATTCTTTTGATAATTGCTACCAAACTGTTCATGAAATTTCATTTGTTTTCCAATACTGTAGAAGATTCATCTTGAAAATCAGTAACTCTGCTCTGAAAACTGGACTGTGAGAAAAAAAAATGCAATTTCATGGCCAGTTTACTAGTAATTTTCAAGAGACTGACATGAAATTCGATTTATGGGGGGAAACAAATTACGAACTTTCAGATTTCACTGAAAATTCAATAAAATTCCCATTTTTTTAGCAGTAGAAAGAATTACTAGACACGCCTCGATCATAAAACAGTCTAGCATCAGCATAAACTCATGTGGATTTTTCCAGGCATCAGCTCAAGTGTGAAATATTACTGGCAGTGGTGTGTGCATGTGAGATCCATTCGACCTTTTATTTGAGTGATTGTGTACCGAAGGGGCCAGAAAAATTGTAAGACTAAAGTCAAGAGAACATATTCACAAATATTTAATTCGTCAACAATTTGGCTCATGTTGATACTGACTAATCATATTCAATCGAAAATTCAAAATAGTTTGAAATTTCCATCGTATTTCCATACCTGAAATTTATCAATTCAGTAGCCAAGTGGTGAAGCGGTTCAATCTTCCTTAAATTCCGAGATATTCATTGAAAACTGGCCAATAGTCAAAATGGACTTGTACCGTTTTACCACTCCGGTACACTGAGAGAAAACCAAACACGTTGTCAAACAAGTCTTGCTTGGGCCAACAAAATCGCTAGTTGAAAATTGCCAAAAAAGAATTTGTTTGATTCGAATTTGAAAGTCTCAAACATGAATAATTGTTCTGCTTTCGACAGCAACAAAATATTTGGCTCAAGAGGCGGATAATTCACACCAGACGGTGCCTTTTCAGAATGAAAATATCTCATATAGAGGAAAATTTATCAACAAATATTTTATCCCTAAGTTACAAGATTGCTATCATATCATTATTATTGTTTCATTTAAGGGTTCATTTCTTGTCTGTGATTATTAGACAGCGAAACGAAAAACTACTATCCCTTGTTTCGCATAAAACAAAGATTTTTCGGGAGCAAAATACGTATGGGAGTATCGAATAACGAAGGAGTACACTGATAGAATGATTCATTTATTCCAAACGAGATTCGTTAACTATTAACGAATGGTAGAGTTGAATATGACCAAATGAATATTCGTTAACTATTAACGAATGAACATTTGATGAGACCGAATAGATCCTAACCTCCAACCAAAATCCATTCGTTAACAATAACTAATCCGTTCTATCAGTGTAGTGCTAGAAATGACATTTCTTGCGTGTACAGACAAAGCAATTTTTTTTAAACTATTAAATCAATTTTTGCGACAAAAATTTTTCATTCCGGCGCACTCTCTGCATGTTTGGCACAAAAAAGCCTTTTTTGATAATTTTCAAAAAACTATTTTCTTCGCACAAGTAAGACTTGTTTGAGAACTTTATCGTTTATCTCTCAATGTACTGAATTATTTTCCACCAGTGTTGTAGATTTGCCTTGAAAATAAGTAACTGTGAGAAAAAAATTGAAATTTCACGGACAATTGACCAGTAATTTTCCAAAGACTGGCATTAAATTCGATTTATGAGGATTGCGTTTACCAAACAGCGTTCACGAAATCAAGTGCCTCCGCATCCTGAAATTGATGATAACACAGGCTGCACAGTGAAAGTAAACACACCCATGTGTATCGCCCTGGAAATCAGTATGAAATTGAATAGAACCATTGGCTCTAGTCGAGCCTATTTTCGTGCCACCGAAGATTGTGAACAATGCGTAGGCAGAATATATTACAGAATTGAACCTGACACATGTCCACCGGATAAATTGAGGTTTTTTGTTGGGCCCTGGAAACCTCTCACCCAGATTACATATTAAAATTGGGCAACTTGGAGAATAGCAACACGTACACACCTTGAAATCCATTAAACCCGCGTAATTAACGACACTGGCATCGAAATGAGGAATGGTAGAGCGGAGCGGGACAGCTGGTACCGGGGAAATGAGAATATTGAAAATTTTCAATCGCACAAAATGTATGTACGTATACGGATCATTACGTGAAATGACGTGACATTCCGGTTTCGCTGGCTAACGACGCGGAAGGAACGTGGACTCGTCACTCTCTAGGTCGGGGTTAGCCGCGCCGGGAATTCTCCCGTATGTGCGTCGTGTGTCGATGACCCTGCGTGTGCACCAACCACATGACTGTATGTCCTCTAACTATAGACTTTGTGTGTCTCCCTCCCCCTCATTTACATGGATCTGAGGGCTTCCATGGTGACATTTCAGGGAAAAGTTGAGGATTGTTCTGTGATTCCGCGAATTTTCAACGACTGGCATTGCCGAGGGAATTTCAGACCATCTCATAATCGAAAACTAACGTATTTTGTTGGTTTTTCTCATGATGTCATGATTTTATATTAATTGAAACTTCAAGGAATTTTAATCCAATCACTGTTGAAAGATTTTAATTCCGTGGACAGTTGACTAGTTATTGTCGGGAGAATGGCGTTGGCTGCGATTCAGGAGGAAAAAAATCATGAAACTTCAAATTTCATCAAGATTCAATGAAATTTCTCATATTGAACTGACTTTTCTTTACCTAACTTTCAAATTTTACAGGCATTCCAGATTTTTTAACAGCAGGAATCTGTGAGTTCCACAACTCACTTGAATTGTCAAACAAAACATGAATATTCAGAATCAATTATGAATTTTTCATATCTATTTTTGTTTAATGAAGGAAATTACAAAGAAATGAATAGTGTTTTTTTCACAATTCTAAAGAAATATTGTAGATTGTTTAAGAGTATACTGTAAGGATGAGTAAGTATCGTGTAAAGAATTTTTTTCAGACTTTTACACTGAATTTTCAATTAATTTTCCTGATTTCTATTAATTTTCATAAAATAATTGAATTGAAATTTTTAGTTTCCATTGTTTTTTTCATGAAATTTTGGCGGAATTTTAGTACTATTCATCTTTACTCGGAAACTCAAGACAGTTGAAACACTTTAGCCTGGTTTCTCCTTACAACCACTGGAATTTACTTGAATTCAGTAGCGAAGTGGTAAAACGGTATAAGTCAATTTTGACTATTGACCAGTTTTTCATAAATATCTCGGAATCTAAAGGAGATGGCAAAATTTTTGTTGAAACCTTTTTTGTACAGCCGGTTGAGAGCTATAACAAATGTAATTACGAAAATTTCGCTATCTCCGTTAGATTCGGAAATATTTCTCAAAGACTTAACTGGGAGATGAGTCCACTTAAATCGGTTTACCACTTCGCTACTGAATTCTACCCGATACTTGAAATTTCGTGTACTTTCTGTAAATCGAATATCGACTATCCATGAAATTCCAATTATTCTTTCTAACACGGCATAAATCCCACAGAAAAAACTCCAACTACTCATTATAGAAGAATAATTTGGAATTTTTCGGCCACAAAAATAATCAAATTAATGAAAAAAAAAAGTATAATATACCCGTTGACATTAAGAGCTTCGCACTTCTTCATTAACATTCTCATTACATACTCTCGTATTCACTTTCTATTATAAATAATCCAGAAATTTATGAGTGCCAACGTGAAAGTGAGCGCTTAAAGCCCGTGAAATATTCTTCTAAAAATAGTTTTCTCCCCTCTGAATTTATGAATCCGCTTGTCACGGGGTTGGGAGAGCCCTTGATTCGCCCTTCGAGAGATTAGAGCCCGTTGATGGTATAATTAATCACCAACGATTAT